ATAGTATATTATAAAAAGTATGTATTATATAATACAATATAAAATATATAGTGTTAAAAAAATCTGATTGCAAATAAAAAAAACCTTAGTGAACATAGGTCGAAGCTTAACCATTTCTGAAATATAAATATTTTAAAATGTTAGCATCATGAATGATTTACTTGCTTCTACGTGTCGCGATGTTTGCCTTAGCGTTTATAACTGAGTTCTGCAAGAAGAATTGTAAGACTCTGCAAGAAAAGTGGAGAGGAAGTCATGTGAAAAATATTCTGTAAATATAGCAAGTAAAAATGTTTATATCTCAAAAACGTTTGAGCTTTCGACCTATGTTCACTAAGGCTTTTGTATTTAGTATAGCGTGTACTATAATTTACCATATAAATGCTGAATTGTTTTTTTTCAAACACACACACAGTAAATAATATATAATTAAATTTATAACTTATATTATTTATCATTATATTAAACACATATTTTTAAAATAACAGACGAAATTAATTGATTAATGTTGAATGTAAATAATTCTTGATTATTGTTAATATTTTAGAATATTGCTTCTGGGATTTCTACGAGTACTTTCTATACAAAAACTATACGGTTTGCGGGTTATTTCAGTGTTCAAATCTATAGTATTATTACATTATTAGAGAATTTGTGTCAAATATAATTCATTTCATATTTCCCAAACGATACACTCAAATTTTTATATTTTTTAACATAATAAAATGAATATAATTAGAAATACAGATATTGTGTAAAAAAATTATTACAAAAAGTATTGCTGACACAGTTGTAAACAAACTGTGGAGGTATTTATTTTTAATATAATTAACATTTATATGTTAAATTAACACATATTTCATTAATTCATCTTAAAATTTATGTTTTAGAACACATTATTTTACATTACTTGTTCACTTCATAAATTGTATTATTTTGACACCAAGTAACGTTGAATATTAATTTAACACAAAAATCTTTTTAACATAATCTACACATTATATTACATTAAATTCAAATATGTTAAAAAATTCGATACAAACAAGAATAGAAAATGGATCGTTTCCAACATAAATATATAATTTTTTTTGTATTAGGGTTGTATAAAATGCTTCGCACTGATAAAATGAACTATAATCCCACAACTCACGGTCTCGCCGCTAAAGGAATTTTATTTTTTACCCAATTGTAATAGCTGTCTATGTCCTTCTATTGCAACATATTAAACTCTCTTCACGCGAGTCTAAGAATAATCAGTTTTTGGAATCTTCCGTATTTATATAGAATATAGTTTATTACTATATATAGAATATAGACTATTTATATAGAAATGTATTTACATATCTCTTCAACTTTTCAAGATTTGACTCTTAAGGTCCGATTGTTTCATCTTTTGATAAATTTTATCTATTAGATAAATCTGATAATCCGCACATGTGATTAGATAATCTTGCTTACCCAATAGAACAATCGGTCCTACATGCAAAAATATCACTAAATGCATGTGTAAAAATGTAAAAAAGAAAGAAACATTAATCGTATGCACCAGACCGTATTATTACTTTGTTTTGCTTCATTATGCTTCATTAAGTATTTTATTTTCTTTACTTACTTTTTTGCTTCAAACAAGCATATAAATATTATATAATTTCAAACATTATGATATACTAGATATTACATAATATCAATTGTAAATTAGATTATTAGTATATAATTATATATGTTTGTAAATATTGCAATTACCTAATAAATTTTATGAGTGGTAACCAAAATAATGGTACAGATCTTGTTCTTATATTTTGACTTTTAATTAGTTGTGCAGCTGTCTATCTTCGATAAGTTGTAAAAATATTTCCTACAATTAGATAGAAATTCTTATTATCAATCTTAATACCCCATGTCATATTTGCATACGTGATTACATTTATCTGTTTAAATTAATTGTATTAATTTTTTCTATAAAACATACATTTTATTTAATTTCGGCTTTTTGCAAACGGCTTTTTCTCGTATCATATAAGGATAGACCGTAGTAAATTTGATTAAAGACTTTCCCTCATTAGATACATGTAATTCGTCCTCAAGCGCATCTATCATACCTGAAAATAGAGCCTTACATGAGCTGAAAGCACTTAAATATTTGTGTATTTAAATCATTTATTTTTCGTAAGTATTGAATGTATTATAAAAAAAGAATAGATATTATAAAGCCTTGTATCCTTCATGTATCAGATTCGAGATCTCGGCTGAAGAAAGAATTGATGAATCTCATTGATGTTGTGACTGAATTGTTTCAACATTAATTCCTTTTCTGTCTAAAATCGCGGAATAATTTCTAGCTATTGTGAGCATAATTGAAGGCTTAAGAAAAAAATCAGATTTATCTCGAACTACATGTTTTGTAACGGAATAAAAAGGAACTAAAGTTCTATAATGTGCTTTTTGTTTCCTGTTTCTTGCTCTTTGTTATTTTTTACATCTTGTCTTTTTGCTTCTTATTTAGTTTTTTATTTTATATCGGCCGGAATAAAAGTTAATGAATTTCGAAAGAAATAAGAGATCCCTGGTGAAAATTTTTCTCATAATTTTTATATGAATTGGAACATTTTTCAGAAATACTCAGAAATATTCGGAAAGCTTACATCTTCTCTCTAAACTTCTCATACAAGTGAATTCTGAAATATTCTGAAATTTTTCATTCTATAATTTTTAAAAAGTACTTTTAAATTTTTTAGATTTTATAACATTTCATCAGAAATTATACTTACAAAAAATCTTAAAAATCTTACGATATTTCATAATTAACATATATGAAAAATTCTGAGAAAAGATGTAGATTTTCTGAGAAATGTTCCAATTCATATAAAAAATGTGAGAAAGTTACAAAATTATAGAGAAATTCTGAAAAATTATATAGAAATTCTAAAAAATTATATGAAAAATTCTGAGAAAAATTTTCACCAGAGATAGCAAAAAATGCAATTATTGATAAAATGGTTGCAAGGAGAAAAAAGGTAAAAACCAAGAAACAAAGAGTTTCTATTGTAGAATAGAAATAAATTAAGAGAAATCCTACAATGCCTGCTATCGATGACAACCAGAAAGAAATCTGAGAGAGGGCAGTTTAAAATCTGTAATCGCAAAATGCTGCCACGCACTACATCGCCCTCTGATAAAATAGACGTAAACTACATAGCAACGTCCACTTCTCTTACGATACATCGTCCACTTTTCAAAATCAATGTATCATAAAAAAAGTAGACGTTGCTATGTAGTTTACCTTTACTTTGTCAGAGGGCGGTGTAATGCGCGACAGCATTTTGCAGTTACAGGGGGTTGATTGTGGATTTTGAAAGGAGATGAAAATTACAAAAGTGAGCAAAGGTTACTAGGTATTGACCAATTAAATTATGAATACTCTAATGAATTTTTCACCTCATTTGAAGATACACAATCGACTCCCAGGTTTGGGCCGTCATGTCCTTTCTCAGGTTTCTCTCTGCATACATGCATTTGCCTATTTAGATTGCGTTTATAATCTATGATGAAGATGAAATAACACATGGCAGTTGGCACTTTGTTGTATTTCGCGGGAGGATCAAACATTTCCTCTCTTTCTCTCTTACTTTCATTGTAGTTCAATGTTTTGCGAACAATTGTCAGAATCTGATGTAATTTTTTTCAAATCCCTTTTACAGCTAATGTGTCGACGTTTATTAGAGTACTGGTGGAATTGCGAATATGTCGCGAGTATCGGATAGAATTTCCGACATTCTAAAGCTAGCAAATAGCTCGAAAGTGACTGATAGAAAGGTAATCGCGTTATTAATCGTTATTTGTTTCAGGAATCTGATTCGTTTTGTGTTTTTAACCGGGAAATTAAATTAAAATTATTCAATCTTCGATTTGGTGATCGATGTAAAATAAATAGAGATATCTTATTCGCAGACATTCGCAAGTTAATCTACAACAGGCCTGTCCAATTTGAGCGCCGGAGCCAAAAAAATTTAATGTGAATAAGATTTCATGGATTAAAGTAAAGTGTTGATGATAGAGCGTCGCTCAGACATGTATCAACACTTTACAATCTTCAAAATCTTATCCATATTGATTTTTTTACGTCAATGGCTTTGTTTTTTTGTTCCAGAGCTCAAATTGGACAGGCCTGATTTAATAGTTGATTTTGACGTATGTACAGAGTGTTTCGAGTCAATTGCTGTCTTTATCTACAAAGCTATATCGGTAAAAGAATTTAAGGTCTGTTTTTTTTTATTCCTACTAGACTGTACTAGAACTCTTGCATTTGTCAAATATCAAGCAAATACTTATCTCACTTTAGGTTTCAAAAATGTACACTAGTTCAAACATAGAAAACGGATTCCCAGTTAAAAATCTAAAATATATATCAACTATATTAATGTACAATCCTTTTACTTCTATTATTTCTTGTGTGACAAAGACCTGTTAATTTTCAGAAATTTGTGTCCGAATTAAAGGATTTATATCAAAATGACGATGCTCTCACAGAAATATGCCAGAATACCAAGAGCAAAGCTTTAGGAAAGGCCAACTGGCACTGTATTATATCCACAGTTCACAAGTTAGTTACCGATGTAAGGAGAATCATATTGAAATGTACATACAAAACAGTTCCAATATTTTGTATGTTATATATTTATAATTTCATTTATTTTTGATGATGCTATTTGAATAATAATAGGAAGCAGAGAAGCCTAGTAAAGAGACAAATGCTAAGAGTAGTGAAAGGCAATCTATCTGTGACTTGATGAAGGATACAGTTCGCCGAGTCAGCGAGAAGTCAGCTGATTTTTTGAAAAGCAGCGATATAGTCTCTCGAATATTGCAGATATTAGACTCTAAGGTCTATGTGCATTATCAGGATACTTATCTAGGGATATTAGTAAAATATATATTGCCCAAAAATATATATCACAGAAATATTATGCCAGAGCAATGGAGGGAACTATTGAAAGTTTGCACCAAGCTGTATAAAAAGGCACACCTCCAAAGCCATATTGTGTTAGATGCGTTGCAGATGATTGTTGATTATTCTTTCTTACATACGAATTTATTTTTTTATGTAAAAGATTTGTTATTGTTTCTGGGTGCGTTGAACTTTCAAATTATTCCGAATTAACTATTTTATGTTTATATTTTACAAAATATTTTAAATATTTTTTTTATATTTATAAACAAATGTTGAGTTGATATTGTCTATATTACTTAAAATTGATCCAAAATAAATTTATTTTACTTTACATTTTAGAAAATGACGTTTTAAAAGATGTGAAAGCAAACAACGAACAGTTGACAGAGTCTTTCTACAAACTAAGTAGCAGTGTATGCAGGCAAATCATCACAGAATCCAGAATCACGCTCTGCAAGTTTAGTGAAAGCATATTGATGAATATCTTATGTTTGAATGGTTCTGAGGAAAAGTATAAGCTGCTGTTGATCTTCCTACAGATTCATCATCCAGAAGGTATCTCGAGGCATGATGATGGTGCTTTTGCATTTGATTGGAACGAATGGAGGAAATTGCTATGTAACATGTATCTGCTTGTCCAGGAGAATTGCAAATTGGACGTGCAGTGGCGCAGTTTCATCCAATTTGCTAGTGAAGGTGCTATTTTTTAACACACAAATATATTTAACGTATGCTTTAAATAATAAAAACACTAATATATTATTTATCTATATCAATTATTTTATTAATTGCACAGATAAATGGCTTTCTTTTTAGCAGCAATTAAATTCTATTCTATAAATTAAAAACTCCTAGAGATTAAACGGTCTAGTTGGATTTTAAATGCTTGTATGATTCTTATGTGAATTTATATACTACGTATGTAATAGAGTAAAAAAAATTTTTAAGTTCGGCGCGCGTTTCTGGGGAATTCTCGGAATTGATTGTTAACAATGATATTACTGTTTTAATGTCTTTTTTTAAATTTATAAAAGATTTGATTGTATAAATAATTGTATATACCTTGTAATGATTTAGTTGTAAAAGAAATTATCAATTTAACAAACATTACATATTTTTTTGCAGTCGTAAAACAAATAATGGACAACTCAATAAATTCTACTAGCTCTCTCGATAACCCTTCTCAATCAATCAAACGCAGACGAACAATGAATAGAATTGAAAATATTGTTGACCTGATAACGAACAGTAGTCCCGAGGAAGTGTGGTCATTGTTAAGAATTCTGACAGAAACCCTAAGAAAATATCCACAGTGTCTGAGATCGCAAGATCTCGCACCCTTGCTGCAACATTTAACGGAGATCGCTGTGTCTCGAGATGAGTCTATCATGAACAATTTGTACAATCTAGCTGCTATTCTCATGGAAATTGAAGTATCTAATGGAGAGGAAATACAAGATGCTACAATTCATTGGAACAAGATCTGGGATATGTTACTTCGGTATTAATTTAAATTTTATTATATTAATTTATTTATATAAATTAATTTAGAATATTACGTAATTTTCCTGTTAAAAAAATTTAGTTTTTATGTTTTACTAAAACAAATTTTACTAAGAAAATTGTGTAAGTGTTGTCTATAAATATTTTTTAGGTATATAACATTTAATTCTAATGTTACATTGATATTGTTGCATTTTATAATTAAGGAATTTTGTAATTGCAATAAGATTATCCTTGCAGGTCTCTAGGAGCGAATCAAAACGAGGAATCGGGCCATTCATTGATTCGCTGTTTTATAAGGTACAATAGACTGCCAAACGCAAACGCTCTTCTTAGATTGTACCTGACCAAGGCGATTCGCTGGTCGCCGAATAGCGTACATACATTGCGACGACTGTGTGAGCGTGTCTCTCTACCAGTGGACGCGACCACATCGGTGCTGGATTCGTCGCCCTCGATGATGATGACGCCAATCTGTGATAGGACACGCCTTCTAGAGTGGCTGCTAAACGTTCCGGATCATACATGGCAGAAGCTGGCGATGCGATTGTCCATCGAGGTTGTCGAAGACATTTGTGAATTATCAGTGAATCTTGTTCTGAAATCTCGTTACAGACAAAATATTAAGACTGAGCAGAAATTCTTGCAGAACCACGAGAAAGCGCGCGTGATTACTTTTATGCCTCATCAAGACATTCAGTCAACAGAGCTTCCGCAACTCTGTCATGCGTTCTTGACGTTTAAGATAGCATTGTCGGTGAATTCGAAAAACAAGCTTATCGAACAAGATTCCGGGATAATACCCGACACTGGAAATTCTGTCTCTTACGTACAGGAAGTATTTAACTTCCTGATGAAGCAAATGCACAAGATTATTCAAGAGGATGATTCCAATGACGAGAATAGAAATACACGTGAAATCTATGTCGTGCTGATGAAGTTTACGTTCCTGGCAAGATTATTATCCATTCTGAAGCAACAGAATATTTTCACGACGAAGGATATCGCTGGCTACTGTCCGTTGATCGATGCAATGGAGAAACAATTGAATGACAGCTATGAAGTTCTGACGAAAATTGACTGGACTAGGTATGAGTTTTAATAGAGCGAAAGAAGTTTTTTATTTTTTCTCATTTCAAATACTATTAAGGAATCATTCAATACTTTTGTACTTCCAAATTTTGTAATTATTAGATTAGATTGGGCTTAGCAGAACTTAAGTTTTTTTTTTTTTTTTACTATTCTGTATTCTTACAAATGTGCTGAATATGCTTTTTATTACAATGTTTCCTCGCAGGTGCAAAAATATATTTCTACTTAGCATAACCAGAGCATTGAGGATGCTTTATGGGACAACTTACGATACGGATATTGCTAAAATAATTGTCTCTGCGTCTACAATGGACATGATCAAAAACATATTCGATCTATTGAATCAAGACGACAATTGTAATTACGATTGTAATGAAGAGTCTAACACTTATCAGGTAAACAAAGAAATTAATTTGTTTTTGTGTAATAAAGAAATTGTTTTTAATGACTGTAATCGTCATGTCATCGTCATTTCAGGGAAGACGCAAGCGGAACGCCAGCATGTATCTGGAGACATCAGACCCAAAGCCAAGCCATCCGCGTGAAGGCGTGATTCATCTGCAGATCGTAGAGGCCTTATCATCCTTCTGCGCTTTACACATCGATGCAAATCACAGCAAATCCACGTTGCAGAAAAAGATGATGCATAACTTGCTGACTATGCAGCAGGACTTCACGAGCTATGTGGATTCCAGAATGTCACTGTTGATCCTGGAATCACTCATTGCACGCGATCATGATGAGATCCAGCGTGAGTGCGCGGATACGCCGTTGAA